TCTCTCTTTCTCATCCTCTTCTCCATCTTTCCCATCTCCCGGCTTGCCACAGGTTTGCCTGCTGTGTCTAAAAGTGGCTCACCGCAGTCACCCAGACTGACACAGCTCATTGGTTAATTTGTATCACGTGTAGCCTGGTCCTGGACGCTCGGGAAGGCTTTACCATATTGACAGGAGAAGCAGCGCAAGTGAAGTTAGACAATGTCGTCGGATAACATGCTGTAATTTATAAATGTTTTGAATCAGGTTGGGTCCAGATTAGCCAGCAGGTGGATCTAGATCCTGATCACGGTCTGCTAATCTGTAACCTCTGGCCTAGTGGTTAGAGCTGAGAACTTGTGTTCTGAGAGGACTGCAAGTATCCGGGTCGATCCCCACAGCCTGCACTCTGAGTTCCCGAGTAAGACCCTTAACACCCGATTGCTCTGTGGGCATCTCACAATCGCAGCCCACTGCTCCCTAAGGGGATGGGATAAATGCAGAGGTATATTTCTCCGATGTGAGATCGATAAAGTTCAAATATTATTAATTATTATTAGCCTTTAATGGGTAACAAATATTGATAGCACACAGTCCCTTGCAAAGTTACTATTACAAATACTGGTATTTTTAGGGCATCTATTTAGTGCATCTCGCACTATTGCATGTCACAGTTTTATTTGATTCTGACTGTTGGATAAAGATTGCAACATAAAAAAAAAAATACTAATGATCTCAGAGTTTAAACTGGTGGTATTTATGAACACCAATCCAATCCTGGATTTTTTTTAAAAAATACCTCCTTTACAACTTTTCTTTTCTACTTCATGCCTAAAAGTCATTTTTTTAGGGTCACTGTACTGCCTACTTTTCAACGCATCCCTACTCTAAAGCTCTGTTGTATTTCTTTTTTTAATGCTGTTTGATTCACCTCTAAGCTCAGATCAATGTCGTCTCATCTGAGTTTTTAAAATTCTAGCTCCTAGTCAGCAAACACCAGGATGTGTTCATTATAGTGGCGCCTGTTTCCTATTAGCATTACAAACCTATGATAAGGTATTTTTTGAAAGTGCCGCCCTCTCCAATTAAAAAGATATATAAATAAAAATGCACATGCACAACCCTGTACCCGTCCCCAAAAAAGGACGCTTATTATATGCGGGTGAGAATGCATGCAGGAGCCCATTTCTCCTCGTGTGCGCTCTGTTTAAAAGTTGCTGTTTGCATGGCTCATACAAGCTTACTTTCCAAAAGAAGATTTACAATTTTCCACCATGTCAGACTCCCCACCGGGGTCAGCCTTAGGTAAACATACAACCAGAATGATTGACAATTAGGAGGACCACTTATTTTGATGATCCACCCAGAATAAGAACATCCTCCACTTTTAACCTAATGTATTCCTAAATATATTTAACCGGCTCTATAAACATCAACCTGCATTACCACTTGAATGGCTCAAAGGGTTTCTCCAATTTGGTAAAGTTGCTTCTTTTAGACCTCTTTTTTTATAAAATTTTGGTCATATTGTGTTAGTCACCGAATGATGAAAAGCAAGTATATTCCTGTGATGGCAATGTATTAATATCCCTTGAAAATATTGATGCTTTTATCCATTATGTCTAATTACATACTGTACCTCATCATTTGTTGTAACAAAACCTTTATGGGATGCCATCAAGTTTTCTGGCTTAGTCGTTGAAATGTATTCACTGTTTGACACGCACCATGATACATCAAGAACCTTTTGCATCCTATAGATCTCTAAGGTTGGGTGATAAGATGGTTGAAAACTGAAGAGGCAAAAGTGTTTACTAGAATGGCAGCCTGATTGTGGAACCCTCTCCTATGTTTAATCCTTAAAAAAAAAAAAAAAAACCTCTTTTATAAACTTTATCATGGTTGATAAGTTTTTTAGATGGGGTGTTTTTGTCTTAGCTCCTTATATTTATGCCTAACATATACCCATATATTGATAATAATAATGTCAAATCTAAATAAATTAAGATAGAGCAACTATGTTTTTTTTATGTTTTTTAAAATGAGGGTCAACCTTTGTTTCTTAATTGAGGTCCCAGGACTCAGTTGCCTCTTTTCTCATTCTCTTTAATAGAAGGAGTGAAAAAAAATAACTCTCCTCTAAAGACCCTGGTTATCTCATTCTTGGACCCAGCCATATATGTACAGTTTTTGACGTTCAGGCCCGCGCCTGCTGCTGGCCAACCACGCAACAGCCAAGTCCATTTCCTCTGCTTAGCTCCATACAGGGCCAAGCCCATGGCTGACAGAACTTCTCAGGCAGCTCCCCTACTGTCTCGTATAAACAAATGAATAAGCAGTCATTATGATGAAGGCCTTCTTTGGCTGCTACTCTGAGGAAGCTCAGCTATGTGAAGCGGCTCTTCTGTCCCACTCAGAATGCCAAAAAAAAAAAAAAAACGTTCAATGAAGGTATTATGTGACGTCGGGATAATAAGTTGGAACTGAAAGTGGCAGCCAGCGGCGCATTAAATTACCACTCTGCCTCTAGAAGCAAGTGACACAGGAAAACACATTAAAAAAAAGCAGACGTAGAAAGAATGTGTAGCTCAGAGTATTTTCCACTCTGTCATTCCTGTGTTTTTTTCCCTTGTTACTTTATTTAGCCCACAGGCTGGGTTAGTCTATGAGCTGTCTGTCCACAGTGAGGACAGAGAGTGAGTCTAACTGCTCTTTGAATTCACTATAAGCTTCTATTTCCTAAAAGCCTCCTCTATTTTTATTGTTCAGCTGAATGCAGAGTTTGTGGCTTCATAAGGATTCGTGAGAAACAGCAGCCTGCAGTCTGTGGGTCAGTCAGTGTAATGAGCCTGGAGACGGAGAGCCCCGTCTAACACCGGCTCCTCGCAGACTGCAAGCGGTCATGTATACGCCATGACTGTGTCCTTGCACATGTTAGCAGGCATTCCAGCTGGCGAAGACATGTTTATCACCTGGCCAATCATCAGATGGGAAGAGGCAGCAGGCACACAGAGGAAGCATGTGCTTAAGTCTAAATAAAGATTAGTGCCTGAACCTCTGTCAGAGGGTAAACCACACGGAGAGTGTTTTGTTAGTGGAGAAATGCAGTGTTAGCAGAACCCAGATGTTTTTTTATGGTGTTGTCATTTTAATTTTTTATTGAGACTGTGTACCATATTTTATACAAAAGAAATATACATACGTTTGGGAATATATTTTTTGATGCTATAAAGTGTGTGAAAAAGTATTTCATACAAATTTATTCTCCTTTTTCTTTTAAATGTATAGAGGACGATCTTTTATTTCTGGGTGGATCATCTAAATAAGTGGTCTTCCTAATTGTCAATCATTCTGGCGATATGTTTACGTAATGCCGTCCTACGTGCCGCCCTTTAGCTATAATTTTCTGCTCATGCGCCCTTTCAAGCGTAAATCTACGGTTTCAGACAGTCATTGAAGCTCACCTTTCTCAACACGGTTCTTTGAAAATGGCAGACGGTCATAAGAGAAAAAGTGTCTACTATTTGCTGTCATAGCTGCCTTCTGTCGCCATAGACTGTCGATACCCGACAGCGGTGACTAACATCAAAGATGGCGCAGGCATGGTGTGGTGGAGGCAGAGTTACGTTACCAATGGTGAGCAAAAAACAGTGATCATTTGCTAAGATTAATTGAGTTTGCTATAAAGTCCACTATATAGTTCTCGCTCTATATAGTGATTGAGGGATTAGCACAGATGTTCGGTCATGGTAAGCTTGTATGAGCTATGAGAAAAGCAACTTTTAAACAGAGCGTGCACGAGGAGAAATGGGCTCGTGCACCCTCTCTTTCACACGTTTAATAGGCGTTCCCTCTTGGGAGCAGGTACATGGTTGTGTATGTGCATTTTTTTTTCAAAGTGGAGAGGGAAAAATTTGCGAAAATCCTCCACAATACCTTTCATTTACACTGAAATTTTTATTTTTTTATTTTCTTCACATGGGGATCAAGGTAGCGGGAATAGTTTTTTTTCTTCTCTTATTACCGTAAATGAAATCATGATTTGAAAACTGCTTTTTGTGTTTTTTAAGCTTATTGGTGTCTTTAATTACATTTATTTATTTATTTTTCTTTTTTGACATTTAAGTGGGAAAGAAATGCAAACCATATCCTGACAGGGACAAACTTTTTTCCCTGCACTGAATTTCATTAAAATCTTAGCAAAGACTATCTTTTTTGTTGTGTTTTTAACATGTGTTTTTTTTTTTTTTTTAAGCTCTGGTTCTGGTTTGTATGAGATGTTTTGGCTTAAGATTTTTCCATAAAGAACTGTGGATCATTTTAATCAGAAGAGAGAAGATAGCCATCTCAGCCATGGAGGAATGTGCTTTTCTTTACCTAAGCACAACATGCTCCTGGTTTTCATTCTGTTTTAGATCACTGGCCAGTACCTTACTGTGCATTCTCATCTGAGAGAACAGCATTTCACATTTTCCAGACGTCAGAACTTCCCCTGCTACTTCTGTCTTCTTCCACATTATGGATAAATATTTCATATGAAGAAGTCATCACATTGCCTTTGTTTAGGGAGGCATTTGCTGCAAATAATGAGCTGTTTGAACTTCTCTTTGTACTTTGTGTGCCTGACATTCTGCGAGGGGTTGATCTGTTGGATTATTTTTGTGTGTGTGTGTGTGTGTGAAAATGCTGCTGTTTTTTATAGAAAAAGTTTCATTTCAGTCTTTTTATTGTTAAGGGGGTTAAACTATTTAAGCTTGATTAGTCTTTATTTTCATCATAGACTTTTGAGGATATGTCTCTTTTCTTCCTGACCAAGAATATAGTTCTCCTGCTAAAGTCCAGACTTTTATATTCTCTTTTTTTCTGGACTTTCAATGGCTAATTGATTTTTTTCTTCTCAAAGAGTTGTTCTTTGAACAGCTTGTAATTCGTTTGGCAGTTTTAGTACCTAAAAAGAAATGTTCTTCACACTAAAAGAACTTTAATTGCTTCTGTCTGTGTGTTTGGATGTTATGTAGTCAGATAAATAGAAATATATGACCCCCACCGCCTTGTTTGATTCTTATACTCTGCATCTGGTTTGTTAGAGACGATCACGGCTTTAGCCCGCTCCACTGGGCGTGCAGAGAAGGGAGGAGCGGGGTAGTCGATATGCTAATCATGAGAGGGGCACGAATCAACGTGATGAACCGTGGAGATGACACACCTTTACATCTGGCTGCGAGCCATGGACACAGAGACATTCTGGCTAAGGTTTGTTGTTTTTTTGTTTTTTTTATACCCAGCTGGAACGTTCATGTTTATTTGCACTGTCTGTACCTGGTTTTGGTCGTTCCGGTTCCTGACTTTCTGACATGTGAATGGCAGCTGATTCAGTGCAAAGCAGACCCCAATACAGTCAATGAGCACGGGAACACCCCACTGCATTACGCCTGCTTCTGGGGCCATGATGAAGTAGCTGAGGTGCAGCACTCTACACCAACACACTTTTAACATCCCTCTTTGGTGACATCTATTGGCAAAAAACGCCCTCTTATGGGCAGAGACTGCTACTGCAGCAAAACCTGTACAGAATTACACACATAAATAAATATTATTTTATGTATCTTATGTGATATCTGTCGTTAGGACTTGGTAACCCACGGCGCCCAGGTGTGTGTGTGTAACAGATATGGGCAGACCCCTCTGGATAAGGCTAAACCTCACTTAAAACAGTTGCTGCAAGGTTAGACTGCTTTACAGATTTCATTATTTTTGTACGTGAATATGATCACAAAAGCAAGCTAACAGTTTATGTTATATTTCTCAGAGAAGGCAGAGAAAATGGGCCAGAATATGTCCAAAATCCCATATAAGGAAACCTTCTGGAAGGGCACAATGAGGACGCGACCTCGTGAGTAACGTTTCTCTGATACGATGGGAGCAAAGTGTGATTTTAAATTAGAATGTGTGTTTTATTATTTTTCCTCTTGTATTTTCTCTCACAGGTAACGGCACACTTAACAAGCAGGCCGGTATTGATTATAAGCAGCTCTCACTCCTGGCAAAGATCAATGAGAATCAATCTGGAGAGGTCAGCTACTTTCTGCCTTTAAATTCTGTTTGACAGTCTTTTTTTAGCTGCTCCAGCTGATCACAGCAGGGTGTGCTCTACTTTTAGCTATGGCAGGGCCGCTGGCAAGGGGATGAGATTGTGGTGAAGGTACTGCATGTGAGAGACTGGACCACCAGGAAGAGCAGAGACTTCAACGAGGAGCATCCAAAACTCAGGTAATTTACAACTAGACTCTTGATATTTAGGACCCAGACCTCATGCATTATTATTTCATTAAACATTTAATTGGAATATTCTTTCAACCATCTACGAAATACAGTTATGAATTGGTACATTTGGTGCAAAATACATTTTTTAATTGGTTTCACAAGTTTAAATTGTCTGTAGTTTTCTCTACTTCATAAATGCTCATAACGATTCAGATTCAAATGTTTTTGAAAGCTTTTGCAGTCACCACCTAGCATTTGACAAAAAATCTGGCCAGATACTTGACCACTATTTTGACACAGTTGCTACGTTTTCTTTTAGAATAATTGCTCTAAGCATAATCCACAACAGTGTTGAGGTTAGGTTAGCATTGTAGACTTTTCTATTTACGCTTCATTTTGTCGTTTTTTATGTATCAAGTTTCAACTTTTCACCGATTTGACCCAAACTCCCAGCCTCAGATGAAGGAAACTAGTTTGGATATTAAACAATAACCCAGAAACAACCAGTACTTGTCATAAACGGGAAGCTGTATGAGCCCCACTGTCCCTTTCTGAGGTGAACAGAGTTCTATGTGAAGCTAGAGAATGCCAAGCAAAAAGAGGGCCAAATAAATAACTTTGCAGCTTATCGAAAACATCTCATACCTTCTGAAGAAAAAGTGTTTCAGTCAAATGATGCAAAGATTGTGATGTTTTGGCAAAATGAAACTAAAGGGTTTTGGAAGAGTCAGGCTAGATGTTTTTGATCTAAAAATGGCTTAACACAATGTTGAGCACAATGGACAATGGTGGCAGTATCATGCTCTTGTTAAAAAGGATTACTATATATATATATATATACTGTATATATATATAGATG